AGGAAATGAGATAAATCGAATACTCTAGTCCATTCGATCTTTCTTAGATTTGCTTGTGTTTGCTTGCTGGATGGGGAAAACCGGTTTCATTGTAAGTCGGGCGACTGGTTTCACGCTTAATAAAACTTTGTATATACATATATATATGTTTATTATACACACATTTTCATTCCCCGTTATCATGAGGAATTTTAAAACACGTGCGCGTGCGCGCACACACGCATGCACACACATTTGTGTAGCAATAAAAAAAAAAAGAAAAATAAAGAAAAAAAATTGTATTTGCAAATTATTAATGTTTTTTCACGAGAAAAATCTAATTAACAAAGAGTCAATTGTGTGAATCATAATTGGTTATTGTTTAAAGCAAATCAAAGAGAAATAATCGAATAAATATAATTACAAGTATATAATTTTATTAGTAAAATTTAATAAATGCAATTCGTATATCAATAGAAATCAAATAAAGAATATAACGGAGAATACTAACCTTCCAATCCAATCACATTGATCGGCAGCTTGAAGGGCAACATGTTCATAGAAAGGGGCCGATGACACATTGCTAATGAGTAGCAGTAAAGATAATAAAAGCACGGAACAAAGCATGAACGTAAATGTTCTCATTTTTTTGTGATTTTATATCGTATTGATTATATACGTTATATATCAAACTGAGTATATATTTGAATTTGCATCTCTGCTTTACAATGTTTTATTATCCAATATTTATTAGATTCCAAATTGGATTTCATTTGTTACAGACTACAAAATCTCAATATCGTTAATTTCGTTTAAATAATTTTTTAGTTAAAAAGCGTATATATGTTTTTTTTATATACATACTAAAAATAATAAAATTCGAACCATACTAAAGATTATATAGATGCGTGTATATACAAGTTTGATTACACAATGAAGTTTCTTTACTTTATTATAAATTTTAATAAACAGATTCAGTTTAAGATGATTTTATTGATGTTAACAGAAAATATGATACTTGATTCAAGATTTAACATTGTTATTCAAAAACATGCACACAGCATAACGATGTAGATAGTCTAACCTTAAAAAATGAAATGAAAAAATAAACGTTTATTAGACGAAAACGTTAAATTAATTAATAATGTCCTCACGTTTCTTCACTGATGTAAACTACTTGCTCTCGTTTCTACACTGCGTCTTCGAATCGCGCGATGGTAGTATGATCGTGTATGCACGACGAACGAGACGGAGAACATTTGAAGGATCATACTTGCCATGGAATATATTAAAAGATTTAGTTATAATATTATACCAAAATTTAACCACACGAGAACTTTCAATAGTTGTTCAGCTATACGTGCCAACACCGTTTATACATATAACTTATGTACAACTATTTCAAAATTATGCATATCGTTTCGTTGCACAATCGCTCACTCGCACGCACCCATACTCACTCACTTTCTCTCTAGTCTGACGTTCTTTACCATGCTCGTTAGAGTCCACTTCGACTCGAGTCGACTCGTTTTATCTCGACTGGCTTCGCTGTTGACTCTCGCCCTTCTCTCCTCTCTCTCACTGGCTAGCTCTTCGAGTGGCTTTGTCATGTTTCTGTTCTCGTTTCATTTTTCGGTTCCTTTCGATGTTATATCTCATCAACATCATAGAATATCTGTTAATTGTACTTATAATGTTAAAAAATTTCTTTTTTTTAGGAAATAGAATTTAATTTGATAGTAAATTAAAACTGAATTATCGATAAATTAAAAATTTTTCTTTAAAAAATTTATTATATTATATATATTCTTTTTATTTATCATATTTTATATAAGATAATTATTATTTAATGAAATAAAAGAGTAATAAAAAATATACAAATGATCAATCAGTTTTATATTATTTGATATTAATTATGTTTAATTTTATATTAATTAAATATCTATTAATTTATATTTTATGAAAATATATTATTTTATGAAAATCATCAATTTTGATACATTTATATATCTTAATATATGATACATTTATATGTATCTTATGTAGATAGAAAAAATCAAAAAGAGATAAATATGAGAATGAAAATGTGAATTTATATGTGAATATGGATAGACGATTAAAAAAAGATGCGCGTATACAACTTTTTAAAAAAAAGACATATCATTTTAATGTAAAATATATTGGTTTCTATTTTAATAAAAAAAAAAAAAAAACGATAATATTAATGTACACATTGCAAATTATATTAATGATTTTATACAAACGAAAAATATATTAAAATGTTATCTGAAAGTGTGATTCTTTAATCTAGATATTAAATTATATGTTCTATATCTAAATATTAAGTATTAAATTTTTGTATATAAATTTCTATATTTGTTTATTTAAATTTTTTCTTCTTTGTTACTTTGATCGCTCTATATCATATAATATCATTTTGCAAATAATAAAATAATTAATTAAATATTGAAAAACAATTGTACATTAGTATATATATAATATACAAATGAAAATCATATGTTATAGTAAAGTCTATTAATTAAAGTGACTTAGTTAATATAAAATAATATAGAATAATATAGACTTAGTTAATAATAGAAGATAAAATGACTAAAGTCTATTTGAATTATTAATAGATTGAATAAAAATTAAATAGGATGCTTAAAAACTAATCTTAATGATAGAAATGTTAATATTAATAAGAAGATAAGATTTTATTTTTCATGAAGTGTTAACTTATCTGATAAAAAAATATTAGGTTTATTTTCATTATGTATTGATAATTTTATAAAAATATGCAATTATTATGCTTCATATCATGATATATATATGTATATAAATATTTTGAAATTATAGAAACTCATCGTGGAATCTAAGTTAAATAGTTTCATTTGCAATACGCATCAATTCCTTTTTCATGTTGTTCAATCTAAAAAAAAAAAGAAAATTTTTTTCTGTTTCATGCATTTTCTATTAATTTATAAATGTTCAAAAATAATTCGTAAATTTATGAATAATTAAAATATGTTCTATGTATTCGAAATGTTTTATATTACTTTTAAAAGATACTTTTCACAAATAAATACATAATATATATAATATATTAATTTATAATATATTAAATATATAATATTAAATATATAATACATAGAATATATACAATCTAATTGAAAAACGATCTTACGCTTCCGTGCAAAAAGTTTGTCGATCTATATGTCCTGGCACAACTTGAACGGGACAAGGATCATAATAATGTACGCTCAACGTTTTCATAGCAATTTTATAATCGTCCAACGGTAAAAGTTCTGAATCACGAGAGAGAACGTTTCCAAATATCGCATCGACATGCCTTATTGTTAATGAATAAAATAAATATAATATATATTTTCAAACATGATAATAGTATGTGCTATATATTTGTGTAATTATATATGTATATATATATATATTTTCAAACATGATAATAGTGTACGCTATATATTGTGTATATATGTATATGTATATATTATATATATGTATTATATATATGTTATGTGTTATATTGTATATATATATATATCTTGTATGTATATATATACCTTTTTGTCCAAAGTAATCGTGGATTTTTAAGTCCCGATCTAAACAATATAAAATCATCTAATAATTCATAAAGATATTGGATAGGATTTGTTGGTTGTTGAACAATAACATGAGAGAGAAGAAAATGAAATATATCGAAAATATTTTTTTTATTCAAATAATCTTGTTCCCTGGATATATTACACGCAACATTATTCTAAAAAACGAAGATAAAATCAGATTCAACGAATTAATAATAACTAGAATGAGATAATATATTATATAACTGTAACTAATAATTTTTTTAAAAAGAAGAACATTATGTATCATGTACCAATGTTTACTTACATTCCAAGTGAATTGAGATTGTCCGCAAGATGATAATTTTTTATTTTGTTCTCCTTTTCGAAAATATTTAATATTTTTATTCATATTTCTACCAATAATAATAAATAAGTTGCAAATACATAAGCATATTTCACATGATTGTATATATAGTTAAAGATTTTAGGACGATAAAAACATGTGAAATCTAACATAGAAAATTTGATATTTCTTTTTTATGGTTATTTATATACACGCGCGATTCGAAAAAGTTGCAATATTAAAAATGATTGAAATTAAATTTCAACATAAAATTATAAGTAAGAAATAGAATAAATATTTTTTTGCATAAAAATTGGATCAAATAGATCTAATAAAATTTTTAATCAATAAATTAGACAAAGAAAATAATAAAATTAATCAGATGTTGTAATCGTTTCTTGAGCATATAAATTTTATAAAATATAGATAAGATAAGTGAAAAAAAGATAAGGGATAAAATTGAAAAACTAGCGCCATCTCTTGAGTGAAAAAAACATCTCTTAAAAAAATATTCAAAAGATGGCTCTGATTCGCAATTCTTATTCTATCTTATCTTGCTTTTGAAGAGATATCTTTGCACAGGCAAAAACATATATTGGACAAAATAATGGTTTAACGAGTATAATATAAAAAAAATTTATCATATTCTTGAGTTGATTTTCAATTAGTTCATTTTCAGTCGTATTTAAAAATATTTAATATTATATATATATATATATATACTGTAAGTATATATATATATATATA